CTTTTGCTTCCCGAATCCCCGAATAAATAATTTGTGTGGACGGCCACGAGCTATTCAGACAGGAACGGTCGACAATTCTCCGTTACACTATAAAATTTTGCCTTATCCGAAAAAAGAATGTATTTGAAAATGTTTGAATCATTTTCTAGCATTCTTAAAACCCCGGTCCCATAGCTACGTATGAATGCGGACGGATACGGACGCGAATCGCAACTTTAGTAACATCACTAAAAATATCTAGTTCGATTATTTAGTACCAACACTACCGGTAGTGAGCAAAAGTAACTGTTGTTTAAAACTGTAGCGCCGAACGTAACACATTTAATGTTCAAATGTCAGGTCTACAATTTACTATTCAAATTCTCATGAATATTGCTTATTGAAGAGTATGCTAATGTAAAAAAAGCTTTTGGGGTGATTAATACATATCATTTATATATATTTGCTTCTTTTTCTCATATATTCAAGTACTTCCATAAAATTAAGGCCTAATTCTACTAATTGTAGTTGAAAGTCTATCAATTCTCTATCATTTGCCATCTTATAGACTGCAATAATGTATAAGGTTAGATAGGCGTTACATTAAATGTGGTACGTTCGGCGCTACAGTTTTAAACAACAGTTACTTTTGCTCACTACCGGTAGTGTTGGTACTAAATAATCGAACTAGATATTTTTAGTGATGTTACTAGAGTTGCGATTCGCGTCCGTATCCGTCCGCATTCATACGTAGCTATGGGACCGGGGCCTAAAGCTCAGTGAAAATTCAATGTGCAATCGAAAATGGTTCTGCCTTATTTCCTTAACTAAAGTTATATTGTAGGCATAATAGTTAAGGATTCTCAGAACCCTTGAAACCGTTGCACGGATAATAACAATTTCTTTTTCAATTTGGTGTGTGCTAATATGCGAGTCGAGATAACCAGTTTCTAAAATAGTCACGACACGAGCGGCATTTTCATCGTATTCATGGTATCTACGCTGACGAATAAGGTAGCCATCGTAAGCTCTTTGAGTTATAGTTCTAATTGTCATATCAGCAGGATGTCTCCTTTGTGGATATAACTCAGTATACTGTCTAGCTGCTGCACGATAATTACTATTGCATTGCCCTAAAACCATTATTATGTCAACTATTTGATCAGCTGGATAACCAGCCATAATATATTTTTACTTATAGACGAGATAATCCCAAAAAATTTAATTTTTATAATATTGAGAACAAATAAATCATAGTATGTTGGAAATTTAACTTAAGTGAAAAATTCAATACAAATTGTTGAAAATTCAGTTCTTGCTTATTTTCAACAATGTAATATTTGTAACTCTTCCTCCGAAAAGCCATTAATAAATATATTTGTAATATTACTATGTATTTATTTATATGAGATGTTTGCAGCGCAGATGTCAGCGAACCGGTAAGTGACACCTCAACCCTTCCATAGTCGATAGTCAGCTCTCAATGCGGAGCTCGCGGAGATGCGATTATTATCGAGAGGAGAGAGAGAGAGAATTGACGCGATCAGAACAATTAGCTTCGAACCGACGACCAATACACACACCGTGAGAAGGATGATCGATACGAGTGCGACACGGAGAAATGTAGCGAGGAGAGAAGCAAGGCAGCTTTTCGCACGACTAGCAGTATCAGCAGCGATAAACTAGGACCTGAGCGAGAACATTAAAATGATTGCCTACTAGCGAGAAGCGAATACGCAAGATAGATCCGCGAAGCGAGTGCGCTATTGAATCCTGAAGGATTAAACGAGCGATCAGCACTGTAAATACTGGCTCGTCATTTGGCTTTCTCTCTCCTTACGCTCGCTTTGTATAATTTTTGGTTTGATCCGCGCTTGCTACTGCGTATAGTGCGTCCGGCGCATGTTATCATTTCTTTGTGCCGCGTGTCGATGCATTGTCGGACGAATTGTAGTTTGCCTGCGAATGCGACTGAGTAAGTGTGTTAGCTTACAGATTGGTATACGGCGTGCTGGTTCACTTTCTATTGGCGGCGGCTCATAACGTGGCGTGAGCCTGCGTTCAGTTCACTCACGTGGCGCGTGCGCTATACTGGTTTATCTCGGGTGCATGTCTACGAGTGTTTGTGTTGCACTAGCCTATGTGACGCAGGTGCGGAGCCTGATTCGCATCGAGTTTGCGTTCTACAACTCTAAAATTTGTATCAACTTCCCTTTTGTTAATATAAACTACTGTTTATCTAAAATTTGTGCCGTGTTATTAGCTTAACCACTCCGCTCTACTTATAATAGTCAGTTGCTTTATTGATTCTCACCCAGTTCCCTCTTGGTTATTCACTGGTTGATTTTCGCGTAGCTCACGACACTCTCTGCAAGCCAATTTCTCTCTTTTGACAAAGGAGGCAACCTGAAGCAGCTGGACCCTGGACGCACCTATGCAGGAGCATAAGGTTATACAGGATAGCGACAACGCCCGCTACATGTAATTTTCATCAATACTTCGAGCAAAAGTCCCGTTACAACTGTTAATCGAAGTGTTTGAGGTATCTGTATTTGTTTTTGTTCTTCTATTTGCAGCCCGCGCATATGCGATGTTTGGTCTAACGATATATTCTCTATTTATCATTTATTTTGGTCTTAGTGCTTGGGAATAATTTTTGCTGAAGAAGTTTTTTTAAATTTTCTTAAGTTTTCTTATAGTTTTATAATTGAATACATAATTTTCTTCATGTTTAGCGCATTTAAAGTCTTTTATTTTTGTTTAAATTGGGCACTTTGTGATCAAGAGATTGTTGTCACATTGAACACATACTAGAGTTCTATAAGAATAATATTTTGTATGGCCGTAATCCTGGCACCGCATACATTGGGGGTTTCTTTTTTTACGTTGTTTCATTGAAAAAGATTATCTGATTCATGAGTTTGTTGATTTTGTATATTCCTTTGTTATTATCGTTAATTTTCTTTTTACGAAAAAAATTGGCGTTGGTTGTTTCGTTATTTTATGTTTAGTATTCAAAATTTTTATTACTTTGTGGTTATATGATTCAATTTCTTATTTTAGATTATTTTCGTTAACTGATGAGTTCATGCCTTTGAGTATCACTTTAAAAAGTTTTTTTTTGAAAGGTATAAAAATCGGTTTGTTTCCTTTCCAATCTCAGCTATTGTATTGGTGAATAATTATGGATTATTGATTTGAATTTGAATTTCGTTATTCTTTACAACTCATTTATTTTGTACTCATTTTTCATGACTTTATCTATGTCATTCAACGGGCTAATGTTTAAATTGCCACTTACCAATATTGGTGATGATTTTAGCGGCATTACTGGCGTTCTATTGTTTGTTTTATTTGCTTTTTTGATTTTCAAAACTTGGAATTTGTAATATCAAAATTCTTACATATCTTATTGATATTTTAGCAATTATAATGCATGTTTAGATCTAACCTATTTTTCCACTCATTCAATAGTAAAAGAAATTATATTAATCCCTAAATACAGTAAGGAAATTAAATTGATCATGTTATACAAATTGATTAGTCTTTTGCTCTCAAACTAGTGCTTTTGCTCTTAACTAGTGCTCTCAAAAATTTATGAAAACATAATTCTAGGTAAAATCAACCCAATAATCATAAATAGAAAATTTATTTCAGATCATCAATTTGATTTCAGGTGGAAACATTCCACGATAGAACAAGTAAACGAAGTTGTATCTGCTACAAGGAAATCTATCGAGAAAAATTATATTGCACCGGTATATTCATTGATGTCGTACAGGCGTTTGATAAAGTATGGCATAAATAAAAAAGATGTTTTCCAAAAAGATACCATGAATTACTTTAATCATACTTACAAAATAGACCCTTCCAAGTCAAAATAAATAAAAAAATATCGAAACGACAACTAATAAAAGCAGGAGATTCGCAAGATAGTGTACTAGGGTCTAAGTTTTCAAATATCTGGATAGTAACATACAAAGATGATACAGCCATTATCACATCATACTCGGATGCAAAAATACCATTGGAATTACTAAAAAATTATATAAATAATTATTTAGAAAATTGGTTGAGCTCTTGGTGAATCAGGGTAAATGAACACACAACGTTCACACTCAGAAAATATAGTTATCCGTCCAATAACTCAATAACAAACACATACCACGAAATAACCCATTAGTTTCATAAGATACTTGCCTGGTGAATGTTCGAAGATTCTCAATGGAAGATAATGCTATATTCAAATATATTATTTCATTAATCGCTGTTTTAGTCTTTCACTATTGACGAGATCTTTGATACAATGAGTTTGCTTAGAACGAGAAAAAGTTTTCCCTACTATTTTTTATGAATTTCTTGGTTTCAACGGTAAATAATATTCTGCTTTAAACAGAATTGCAACTCATAAATATGACCTAACCGTATTGTACTTATGAAGATTTTTTTCTAAATCCATGAATTTCGCCGAAAGCTTTTATGTAGAAATTTTAGGGATCATTAAAAACGAATTCAACAATTCACGATATAATAATTAAGAATCTCACAACAAAATGATTGAAAATGTGAGTTTGATGAAAAATAAATAATAATACTACCTAGAGGATTTCCTAGGTCGCTGAAAATAAATCTTGAATCAGGATTAAAACAAAGTGCCACTGTTGAAGTCAGTTTCTGAACGTGCCCGTTTATTTCTTAAAACTGACAAAACCTTATTGATTTGATTATTTTATTTCTTAGTAATCATTAAAGTACAAAATTAGCACGTTTCCAGGTAATGATATTCTAAGATATTCAAGAATCCGTATTTTTAGGATTTAAGCTTTTGTTGATTCATTTTCCAAACTTTCTTCTTATTGTTAGTGGGAAATTCCATGATGTGTTTAATCTTTTCACCAAATTTATAAACCTAAAATGTGGTGATTTTTGCTTTGACAGAGATAATAGCGCCGATTTTATGTATAGATCTACCATCAATATTAAAAAAAAATTAAAATAGACTATTTTTCAATTTCTTATAGGTACATTGGTTTCAACAGCAGCATGAAAAAACTCGAAAAAAAAGAGATTTTTCTGCAGCCCCAGGAACTTTTACGGATTATTTTCCTGTTTTCACTGATTATCCATTGAGGCTTCATCATAAAAACTATCATCATCAGAGAAACCGTGGCGCCCCTTTACAGAATTTATTTTCTGATCCATTATTTAAAGAACAATGGTACTTGGTAAGTATAATCTGAAATATCGCGTTTATTAATTTAATATAGTAATCAATACAAACTGATATACGACGGGTTTTTAAATCCTGTTGAGCTATGCTATATATATTTTATTTATATTATTTTCATACCTATGTATGTCGGCAAATATTATCGATTTTCACTCATTTATTTATACTTTCAACTAGAAGTCAGCATGCTCGTTCCATGTACGTTAAACGTACGGTATATAAACGATAAAATTTTTTTTTATTATTTGTTATATCTATTATATACTTGCATCTATTGAAGTAAAATAATAAATTCGAAAGAAGAATGAAAAATGATGGTAAACTAGAGCGAGTATATACGATTAATCTAAATAATACTGAATACTAGTACTTATGCATTTGACTGCACAAAGAACGGGATCGAACTGTCTTTTTAGATTTGAAAAAATTTGTTGGCGTAACGTATCCTACCTATCAAGTAGCATGTAGAATCCAAGGATTGCTAAACGATGATCAACACTGGAATATTTTTACAAGAGTGTGCATTATATGATTCACTTACAAAGTTAAGAAACCTACGAGGATGGTCCGATAAGTACTTAGCCTACAAAAGAAAAACAAAAATTTTGGAAAAGTGGCGTTTTATTTTTCAACATAGTCTCCTTTTAGTTCCATACACTTGGACCAGTGATGCTTTAACTTCTTTAACCCGTCTGAAAAATACGTTTCCTCGAGATCTGAAAAGTAGGCTTCCGTGGCTGCGATTACCTCCTCATTCGACTCAAATTTCTGCCCGGCGAGTGACTTTTTCAAGTTTGGAAACAAAAAGAAGTCGCACGAGGCTAAATCTGGAGAATACGGTGGATGGGGCAGCAGTTTGTAGCCTAATTCGACCAATTTCGCCATGGCAACGGCGGAGGTGTGAGCCGGTGCGTTGTCATGGTGGAAGAGCACTTTTTTCTTCGCCAAATGGGGCTGTTTTTTCTGCAATTCGACGTCGAATCGGCCCAATAATTCGGCATAGTACAGCCGTGTAACCGTTTTGCCCCTCTCCAGGTAGTCGATGTAGATCACACCTTGTGAATCCCAGAAAACGGTGGCCATCACCTTTCCGGCCGATGGGGCAGTCTTCGCCTTCATCGGAGCACTTTTGCTGGGTAAAGTTCACTGTTTCGACTGTTCCTTGGTCTCTGGTGTACGAGGTGTTTTCAAAAAGTAAGGTGACTTTTCAAATTTCACGGACAACGTACTTTCGATTATCGATTTTTTTGTTTTGTTATGTGGTACACTCTTCCCGAAGATCTGTACCAAGTTTCAAGTGTATAGCATTTTTTGTTTGGTTGTGAGAGGCGTAAAGGTTATAAGTGTTTTGCGTGCTCGGCGATTTCTTGCTATCGAAAAATATTGATCAAAGGATTTGCATCAAATTTTGTGTAAAAAATAAAATAAAGTGCTCCGAAACACTTGAAATTTTGACGGTGGCATACGGTGAAACTGTTCTGAGTAAAAAAAATGTTTACAAGTGGTACAAACTCTTCCAAGATGGCCGGGAAGATGCCAATGACGAGCCTCGCTCTGGACGCCTAAGCACGTCAACAACTGATGAAAACGTTCAAGCAGTGAAGAAAATTGTTCTGGAAAATCGTCGAATCACTATCAGAGAAGTTGCTGAGGATGTTGGTATATCGCTTGGCTCATGCCATGAAATTTTTTCTAACGTTTTGGGCATGAGACGTGTGTCAGCGAAGTTTGTTCCGAAATTGCTAAATTTTGACCAAAAGAACCGTCGCATGAGCATCGCTCAAGAACTGTTGAATGACGTCAACGACGACCTATATTTACTCAAAAGGGTCATAACTGGTGACGAATCATGGGTATATGGTTATGATATCGAACCAAAGTCCAATCGTCCCAATGGAAGAGCCCGGATGAGCCAAGACCGAAAAAAGCACAGCAAGTTCGATCAAATGTAAAAGTTTTGCTCACTGTTTTCTTCGATTACCGTGACGTGGTGCATCAGAAGTTCTTACCATATGGACGTACGGTCAATAAACAGTATTATCTTGAAGTTATGCGCCGTTTGCGAGAAGCAATACGAAGAAAACGCCCAGAATTGTGGAAAAACAATTCATGACTTTTGCATCACGATAATGCTCCTGCTCACTTATTTTTGCTTGTGAGAGATTTTTTGGCCAAAAACAACACCACAATCACGCCTCAGCCACCATATTCACCGGATTTGGCCCCATGTGACTTTTTCTTGTTCCCAAAACTGAAGAGACCTATGAAAGGACGGAGATTTGCAACGATTGAAGAGATAAAGACTGCATCGCTGGAAGAGCTCAAAGCTATACCGAAAAGTGCTTATGAGAAGTGCTTTGAGGATTGGAAAAACCGTTGGCATAAGTGTATTGTATCTGAGGGGGATTACTTTGAAGGGGACAACATAAATATTGATAAATAAATAAATATTTTTTCTTAAAAATACAAAGTCACCTTACTTTTTGAACACACCTCGTATACCAGTGGATCCATGTTTCGTCGACTGTCACGAAACGACGCAGAAACTCCTTCGGATTGCGCTTAAACAGCGTCAGACATTACTCTGAAGTTGTCTCACGGTTGCGCTTGTTGTCCGGAGTGAGCAAACGCGGCACCCATTGCGCGTGATAGAATATTTCTTTTGCAAGAGTGGCGCCATCGGGCGGTGAGGCTAAGTACTTATCGGACCACCCTCGTTTTTTTAGTGATGTTAGTGTTTTATGAGATTTTTAATCCTCTATTGGAAAAATATAAAAATAGTTTTTCCGATATGATTCGTCAAATTACTAAAGTAAATCAAAATGCTGCACAAAATAAGGATGATATATACAGATGATTTTGGGCTATTTCGATGGGTCTTCAAAACTTGCGTTGTAGATTTATTTTTAAATTTGGCAGTTTTGAATTTGGCACAATTACTGTACACATATAAGTGAGATTTTGCCAGACTTTCCAGTTTTTTACAGACGATTTATTAATTATATCAAAAGTTATTAAAAACTAAAGGAAAATGATAAAAAAAATTTGAAAAGCTATATATTAAAAATTAATAAAAATATTAAAATCAAGTATTTTCCAAAATACTTATAATATCTTATACTTTCGAAATAATTAGAATAATAAATTGTAACTTTTGATCCTTATCCTACGTTATTGAAATAAATAGTTTGGACTCTAAGATATATTCATAATCGCGTTTCCGAGAGTAGACAAGAAGTTGATATGTAAAAGTTCTTTGCTACAATCAACAAATAACGAACAAAGTGTTATCCACGTACTTCGCTGCTTCGATAAGCCGTTTGAAAGGGGTTTTAAAGGGCTCGAGAGTTAAGGACTTTGGAGTATGTTGGTCAGGGGTTACAGCGTCGCAGGTTATGGGGCTCTAGGGTTAAGGGAATTGAGATTATAGAGTCATTCTGACGTTAAATTTGGATTCAGTGACCCAAAAAACATATAATTACACTATAACTCACACTAAATCACTCAAATTCAATCTACGGTAAAAAAAGATTTTTTAAATTTGAAAAAGGGTTTTGAAGGGTAAGAGTAGTACTTTGAGATAGCATTACTCGTTTTTTAAAATAAAATTGGCTTACGACGTAATACTCCGCGAAATATATTGAAAAATCGTGTTTTTTGAACTTTTAGGTTAGGATTTCTCGAAAACCTAGGGTGATGGAGCAATTCTGAGGTCAGATTCGGTTTCAGTGCACCAAAAACGTTTGGAAACGTACTGTCTGGTTTCTGGGTTTTTCCATTTTTTAAATTTTGTCGGCCTGTGTAATCTAAGGCTGTTTTTTTCTCATGAGAGAAAGAGTCTTATGAGTTGAACGCTTAGATTATCATGTAGGAAAGGAATTGCAGACTGTCCACTGAATAATGAAAATCGGTCTTAGGATATAGCTGAGTCTTTGACCTTGTAAGGGGGTGTGACGAGAGCAGGCCATGTGCCGGTTTCTCATCTGCGTTTCTCCCTCCTTCTCCACTCGGCAAGGCGTGGTGGCCAACGTTGGGCGCATTAAAGTATGCGCCTAACACTTGGCCTTTTTGTTTCAGCGCCAATGACGTGCCAGCGCAATTGAGCGCAGAAAAATTGAAGAGTGAGGAGAGAATGAGAAAGAGAGAGAGAGAGAGGGAGAGAGAGAGCGAGCATTAGGCCTATGCAGGGATAGGCAGACGCGTGACGCGTGACCGATAAGCGGCGCGTCGCGTGCCGCCTAACTAATAGGTCAGGAGGGGAGAGGAGCGTGCGCCGCTGAGCGGCCGCGAGACGAGCGCTAGAAAAAAGTGCGTGCGCGAGTCCAGTCGAGTCGAGTGAGTGTGCAGAGAGTACAGTTTTTGGGCACAACGAGAGTTGAACTCGCTAGTGACAAGAGTTGTCATCGCCTGCAGCAACGGTTTCTTTTCCTGCGTCGATCGCGGTGACTCCTTCGCTAGAGGCCCAGGACGACAGCTTCGCCAGTGACAACCCCCCTTCACTTGATTAGCAGCCCAACGCCCAGAAACGGTAACCCTTCGGTAGAGGCCCAGGACGATAGCTTCGCCAGCGACAACACTCCTTCACTTGGTTGGCAGCCCAGCGCCTAGAAAGGTCGAGTTTCCTTTGTCTTCTTGAATTTCTCTTTCTCGCTAAATCCTCTTTCTCCCTCTGACGGTACGACTGGCAAACGCGTGCGTGTAGGTAGCGAGGCACTCACATGCCAGCTATTTTACTACGTACGCTCGTTAGTATATTATAGTTTATGTAATTAGAGGACGATGGATGTCAAGGCGCTCACGTGCCAGACAACTTATTCGGTATAGGTTTGCGTAGTTTTTAAGTAGGTTTGTAAATAGGATAAGTGCGTGATTAATTGTTTAGTTAGGAGAGACCGCGATACATTTATTCGCGATGATGCTAGGTAGTTTCTTTTGTTTTGTTTGTTCGTTAGAGAATCAATAATTTTTAGATTATATATTGCGCGTGTATGTTAG